GAAGAATGACATAGCTGAAATAAAGAATACCCTGAAAGGCATCAACAGTAGTTTAGAAGAAGCTGAGGACCAAATCAGCTAATTAGAAGACAAGGTAGAAAGAAACACCCAATCAGAGCAACAATTGAAAAAAAAATTAAAAATTAAAAAATGCTATAAGTCACTAATCATCAGAGAGATGCAAATTAAAATGACTATAAGGAATCCCCGGCTGGTGTGGCTCAGTGGTTGAGCATCAACCCATGCACCAAGAGGTCGCCGGTTCAATTCCTGATCAGGGCACTTGCCCAGGTTATGGGCCAGGTCCTCAGTGGGGGGCATGCTGGAGGTAGCCAATTGATATTCTTTCTCATTGATGTTTCTATCTCTTTCCCTCTCCCTTCCTCTCTCTCTAAAAAATCAATAATGAAAACAAAATTTTTAAATGACAATGAGGTACAACCTCACACCTGCCAGAATGGCTACCATGAATAAATCAACAAACAACAAGTGCTGGCGAGAATGTGGAGAAAAGGGAACCCTAGTACACTGCTGATGGGATTGCAGACTGGTACAGCCCCTGTGGAAAACAGTATGGAATTTCCTAAAAAAAAACTAAAAATGGAACTGCTGTGTGACCCAGTGATCCCACTCCTAGGAAATACATCATAAGAAGCCTGAAACACCAATCAGAAAGAATATATACACCCCTATGTTCATAACAGTATTATTTACAATAGTTAAGATCTGGAAATAACCCAAGTGTCCATCAGTAGATGAGTGGATAAAAAAGCTGTGGTACATTTACACAATGGAATACTATGCAGCTGTATAAAAGATGGATCTATTACCCTTTGAAAAACAGCATGGAGGTACTTGGAGAGTATTATGCTAAGCGAAATTAGCCAGTCAGAGAAAGACAAGTATTACATGATCTCACATATGTGTGAATCTAATGAACAAAATAACCTGTTGAATAAAATAGAAACAGAGGCATGGAAACATGGATCAGACTGATGAATCTCAGAGGGAAGGGCAGAGGAGCTGTGGGAAGAGATTAACCAAAGAACTTATATGTATATATGCATAGTCCATGGACACAGACAATACGATAGTGAAGGCCTGGGGTGGGGCAGGAACTGGGAGGATGGGGACAATGGTGGTGGGGGGGGGGGGGCTTACCTGTAATACAACAATAAAGATGTTTTTTTTAAAGGAAGAAGGATGCCTTGGCCGGTTTGGCTCAGCGGTTAGAGCATTGGCCGGCGGTCCACAGAGACCCAAGTTTGGTTCCCGCTAAGGGCACGTACCTCAGTTGCAGTTTGTCCCCGGCCCTGGTTGGTCGTGCGAGTGGCAGCCACTCTATGTGTCCCTTTCACATCGATGTTTCTCTCTCTCTTTCTCTCTTCCTCTCTCTCCCTCCCACTCTATCTGGACAAAAAAATGGAAAAATGTCCTCGGGTAAGGATAAAAATAAATAAAAAGGAAGAGGTTGTCAATGGGGGAAAAAGGAGAAACATCTGTAACAAAAATAAATTAATTTTTAAAAAAGATTTTTTTAAAAAACCTTATGGGACATATTAACTTACAGTGTCTCCAATTAGGTTGGAGGAGTGGCTTCCCTGGAGGCAGATGTGTTGCAACTGTCAGAAGCCCTTTTGTCCACCATACTTACTCTAAATTAAGATAAGGGAAATATTTTAAGATTTCCCCATGAGAACCTGTGGGCCTGTTCTCTGTGACCTGCTTGGGCAGAAAAGGGAAGGCAGTTTCAAGTAAAACTGATAGACTGTCCATGTTTCATTGGCTCAACCATAAGTCCAAACCACTGAGTCTCAGTTCTGAAGGCGGCGATGCTGATGGCTTGTAACATGAGATCTATATTGTGCGAGCAAGCAATCAAGTAAACAAGGACGTAGAATACCTTTTGTGAAAACAGAAGCAAGCCAAACACAGAGGTTAATGCACACAGCTAATCACAAACCAGTTATGAAGATTTCCAAATGCAAGGCTTCTGCTAGAATGAAAGCAGGTAGTGACAATCTGATAGATTGTCTGCAGTTAGAATATTTCTGATGATGTTATCAGGTGCTAAGGTGTGCGTGGCATACACAGACAGCTTTAAAATAAAAACGTTGTCAAATGATTTTCTTGCATCTATTAAGATCATTATTATATGATTTTTATTCTCCATTTTATTAATGTATTGTATCATGTTGATTGATTTGCAGATGTTGAATGCCTGGAATAAATCTCACTTGATCATGGAATATGATCCTTTTAATGTGTTGCTGAATTCAGTTTGCTAATAATTTGCAGTGTTTTCTTTCCTTTCAGTCATCATAAATATCAGCAGAGGTTTTTTCTGTCTCACATTTTTCTCATTTTACCCACTTCTCCCCTATGTTTTTATATCAATATATTCTTCTTTGAAACGACTCAGCCTGAAGCAATCAGTGCAGGCACAGTTCTGGTCTGGATGGCCCCGTCTAAACTTGGCCAGCTTGCTGACAGTGGTCAGGTAGATGGTGGCCAGAGCCAGGGAGTAAGATGCTTGACCGTGGATGTACTTTGATAGCTTTAACATCAATAAAGTACTTTACTTCCTATTATTCTCTCTGAAACTTTGAAGCATGGTCTGAGGAAAGGAGAATGGAGTAATCAGTTAAGGCCCCAGTGCTTTGTGAATGCACTGGGGCCATGTTTTGATTCATTCCCTGGGGTCGTCTGAATCTGGGTGAACAAGGCAGTCAGATGGAACCTGGGTTCAAATGCCCAGCAGCGAATAAACTATATGTAGCATTCAAGATATAAATCATTCCAATATTACTCCAAATATGCAGAGCATGAAAAAAGAGGGGAAATTGCCCTGGCTGGTTTGGCTCAGTGGTTAGAGAATCGGCCCGTGAACCAAAGGGTCACGGGTTCAATTCCTAGTCAAAGGCACGTACCTGGGTTGTAGGTTTGAACTCTGGCCCTGGTCTGGGTCATGTGGGAGGCATGCGTCTCTCTCACATCAATGTTTCTCTCTCTCCCTCCCTTCCACTCTATCTAAAAATCAATAGAAAAATATCCTTGGGTCAGGTTTTAAGAAAAAGAAAAAAGAAAAACCACTTTTTTAGTTTATTACATACAGCTAGAACAGCCTTGATAATACAGAAATAATATGAAAAAGTTGAGGTTATCTCAGGAGTGCAAAGTTGATGCAACATGATAAAATTAATGCTATTTGTTTTATTTAGAGAACAAAGGAGCAAAGTTTTATGGTCATACCAGTAGATGCAGAAATAACTACCTAAACCTAAATGAGAAGATAGTGGTTAAAAGACATAACTTTTTTCTTTTTCAATCAGCCAGGCCAAATGCACACCTCTTACCTAGACTAATTTAGTTTCCACAATAATTTTTTTAGATAAGTATCACTTATATTTATATTGTTTTTAATCAGTAGATAAAACTTTGGATAAATTTTTTTCTCATTCTTTTTTTATTGACTCTTAGAAATAGAGAAAGGGAGAGGGAGAGATAGATGGAAACATCAACGAGAGAGAAACATCCATCGGCTGCCTCTTGCACACCCGCTATTGGGGATTGAGCCCACAACCCGGGCATGTGCCCTGACTGGGAATTGAACCTGTGACCTCTTGGTGCTCAACCAGAGTCATACCAGCCAGGCTTCTTCTCATTCTTAAAAGAGTTATCAATCTCATTTAAAAATACTTTCCTCTTACAGTCATTTAGATACTATCTTAGAACGTCAAGTGAAATAGCTCAGTGAGGCCCACCGAGCCTCAGAGCAGGATGCTTGTTTATTCTACGCCTACTGTGATTTTTTCACAGCCAAGCTCTGCCTATACTACAGGTCTGTAACAGAACCAGTGGCGTTCGTGTTCACACCTTACTCCTGACGTGCCTGCAGCTTCTCACGCAGAAAAAGGGGTGACAGACACCTGAGACCTGAATGGTGAGGGACTATTGCACTATGCGAGGCTAACACACTTAGTGCAGAGCGCAGGGGGTGACAAACCAGCCACTCCTCATAACCTCTTCCCATCCCACCCACAATGTCAGCGTTTCCTCAGTCCCAGTCACTGCCCACGGCTACGTGGCTGGCTTGGCCACCGCCAAGAAAGCACACCAGGGACAGAATGAAAATATGCATCACATCAGTTAAGGTAGAGGCAGCTCCGGCTCCTGCTGACTGCAAACAGGTCACTGGGGACGTCTGTTCCCTAGAACACAGCACAGCGCTTCCACTTGAACCTCACACATCAATTGGTTTCTGTATCTTCGGGCACGATGATCACATTTCCAGCAAGTAACACAAGTGGCTGCAGGAAATAGTCACCTCTTTTTTCTAATACGTGCAGTGAAATAGCAAGTCATCTAGTGTATACTCATGAAGTTGTCTTAACTTACATTATTGTGCATGGACCTATCTGACTCTGGCCCCTGGGAGCTAGTTCACATTTTCAGGGAAAGGGAAGGCTGTGCATTTGAACCGGTATGTGACCACAGATCACAAACGGAAACTACGGTAAAAGCGGAAACATGCGTGGGCCATGAGACTGGTTTCTCATGGGCCTGAGTTAACTGCTCTCCCTGCTCCTGTGCTGGCTTCTGGAGAGCTCACAAGTTTTGGAAGGGAGCTCCCTGCTGAGGGCCTCTGAGACCTGCTTCCCAGTTCCTCATAGCCCCTGCCCCCTCTATCGTCTCGCTAGTAGTCCGACGTGTGCAGGAGGGGAGCAGCACTGACCACGTGGCCGGAGGGGAGCAGCACTGACCACGTGGCCGGAGGGGAGCAGCACTGACCACGTGGCCGGAGGGGAGCAGCACAACTGGCGTGAGCGCAGCGCTCTGCTCGGAGAGGACCCCAGTCTGAACGGGTGTGAGGATGGAGGGGACACGTCTCGGAGCGGGTACTGACCCTGCCAGTGTGACCACAGACCCCCTGGATGGCGATTTCAGATCCTAGAAAACACTGGCATGTGAACACACAAATACACAAGGAGCTCTGAACATGGAACTTCAAAATTAGACCCTTTATTTTTGGGCTGTCACCAAAGGTCACTTTGGGTTCAGGCACATTGTGAAGTGTCAGAGGGAAAGTGGGTCAGCAGGGGACAGGAGAAGGGCTATGGGCAGAGCTGGCCATTCCCTTAAGGGGAGGAGTAGCGGCCACAGAACAGAATACTGTTGGTTTTGCTGTGCTGTATGAAGAAAAGGAAGGGGTGGTCCGCACAGAACCTGGGGGTGATCCTGGCACAGCGAAACATCATGATGGCGGCAGTGGCTGCTGCAGCCTCCGTGCCTTCCTCGTTGACCTCCACAAAGGATTTGTGCACGACCTTGGATAGAAACAGGTTTCTCCCAGACGATATTCCAGAAAAGTCCGCCTTTTCCTGATCAAAGGCATCGGTCATGCCCAGAGAGCGCAGGACAGCCTCCATGTCGTAGTTCTCCTCCAGTTTGAATCTAGGGAGGAACACCTCCACCTCTTCCTCATCCATCATATCTGGCTTGGTCCACTCCATGAATTTCTCATAAGTAAGTTGTTTTTCCACCTAGAAGAAGAGGAGGGTTGAGGTTTACGATCTAGAACAGGGCTGCCCACCAGAACCTGCACCGCGGTGAGACGGCAGTGACGGGCACTGTGCTCCTTCACGGACATTCAGGGCAACGCGAGCTGCGAGGCAGAGATGCGAACGTGCCACCTGCCATCGCAGCAGTTACCGCCCGGCGCTCATACCGTCTCTAGGTCGACGTTTTCATCGGGGAGCATGATGATCATGTTCAGCTCTTTGCCGACATATGGCAGCACCAGAATTTTGGTGAATATTTCTCCTATGTAGGTGATATTAAAGGTAGATTTCTTAAACATCATTTGCACAAGTTTCTCCTCATTCTATAAAGGAAAAGGATAAACATTAAGTTGAAACAAGACCCAGTTTATACATTGGACAAATCAACACAGCTGGCCACTCTGGGCCCCTCCGAATACTTTCTTGGCTTCCAGAACATCACGTCGGCTCCCTCTTTTGACGGCTTGAATTCACTGCCTCGACCTCCAGACACTGGGGTATCTTCCACTGCTCTTCCCTTAGTGATGTCATTCAGTCTTGTGACTTTAACTAGAATTCCTAATTTTATATTTCTATCAGGACCTCTCCCTGGAACTCAAGACTAATACATGTCACTGCCTACCTGACACCTGCATTTGGACATAAAAGGGATCTCTGACGTCCATGTCACACTGGGCTCCTCAGATTCCCTCCCAAGCCTGCTCCGTCTGTAATTTTCCCTGTCTCAGCTGATGTCGACACCATTCATCCCACTGTCAAAACCCTGACTCCTGTCTTTCACACCCACACCTGACTCACTGGCTAATCATCTGACTCTACTTTTAAAATATAACACAAATCCAACTTGTTCTTTCCACCTGCACTACCACCAGCCAAGCCCTGCTCACTGGGATGACCTCCTAAGTGACCACTTCACTCTGGCTGAACACCTTTCCCTGGCTGCCCCTCAACACCCAGGGAGTGAACACTGAAGTCCTTAAAACAACGTGCAGTGGTGACAAGAACTCGCCCCCCATGCCCGCTGCTCCCACCTCCCTGCACTCCTCTGCTAGAGCTGCAGGGGCCCCTTGCCGGTTCTCTGGGCAAACCAGGCCCAGTATGCATGTCCTCAAGACCTGAGAGCACCCCCTTGGACACAGGGACTGTTTCCGAGAATCTCCTTTGTTACTGCAAAATAGTCACCTTGCTGACTTTAAATGGTCTCTCCTTGGTGTGCTGTTTGCTAAACTGACTGTTCCAGGTTCCTTTGAAGTAGATGGCATTCACGAGAACCAGAGGAGTACTCTGATTAACTGAATTTGGAGACAGCAACTCTGTAATTTTACCTGAAAAGAAGAATTAAAGAACCAGTTAGCTATGGGGGTCCTGATGTGTGCTCGGGGGCAATATTCAGATTGGGCCATCTCCTTGCGTAGACAAGTACACAGATAAAGGAGTTTACTGTCCCCCAAATATAGTGAAAGGGATACTGGTCCTTAAAATAACAGCAGAGAAAAAAAATACCATCACTTGAATAAAATGGTATTCTGCAATGGTATAGGATGAATTAATCACAAGTGAGACAGAAGGAATGGCTGGTGTAAATAATGTGAAAGCTTGTAGCAAGTGTAAAGAACAGTTTAAATGAAGAACCACAGGTGGGTAAGGGCATCACTGTGTCCTGCATGGGACTCGCCAGGTCAGGAGCCATGAAGACAGCCTGAGACCTGTAGCCAAATTTTTCACACTATTTGTAAAAAGAAAGACTTAACATTAACAACAAAAATTAAAGTGTGGATTGTTTTGGAAGAGGTGTACTAGATATTTAGAGACATCACAGATATGTTGATAAGAACAGGAAAATGCTAGAGAAAATGATTACACATTGACAATATTTCCAAAGTATATTTTAAAAGTTTAGCTATTTTGAGGGAAAAAATATCATTCGTTTACATTCGATGTTCTTGTGAAGGAATTAACAGTGATTGATTAAAATACTATTAAAATAGAACACGGATACATTTTCACCTTCTGTCTTGTTAGCAACCCAGGTGTTGATGTGTTTTCTGGCCTCCTCTGCAGCTTTGAAGAAGTCCAGCTCTTCCATCTCTGCTTCGTAGAATTTGCGGCAGGAATCTTTGAAAGACTGGGAGAGACAGCAACACATTGCATGGCCACAAAAACAAGCACCACCACCAGCTTACTTCTTCATTGTGACAAAGATAATTTTACAATCCATGTAATCGGAGGAATAAATAAATATAAGGAGTAAAAAATATTGAGGAATAAATAAATAAATAATATGAGAAAGAAAAAAAGAGAAATTAACCTGAAATCCAATTTCTCAATTTTCAGCTACATTTGATCTTAGTTTATAAACGAAGTACAACAGTGGTCTGAATATCAAATAAACACCATAAGCTACTAGATCTTTAAGGGAGCAGCTGTACATCAACTAGGTAAACACAAAGATACTAGATGCAGCAACTATAGAGTGTCACTCCCAATACCCACTGCACTTGCTAAGTGACATGTCACCCACAGCAAGAGCCGCGGCTCCCTGCACACGTCAGAACCGGGGCCCGTGGTTTACATGACATGGAGAAAATGTGTAACCCACCCACCCCTCTCACCACAGCTTCCTGCAATGACAGAAATGGTCTGAACTGGAGCACACGTGACTCCTGAGCATGGGAAATGTGGCTGCTCCTGCTGAGGAACTGAATATTTAACTGTATTTCACTTTAATTAACTATACTGAAATGTAAATACCTACGTGTGTCCAGTGGCTACCATTTTGGATGGATCATTCTAGAGTATTTTGTTAATATAGTCTATGAAATTATAATATTAATGAACACCTGCATCATGCCAAATAAAAGCAGACAATTTGATGGAAAACAAATATACTGAACCAACTAATTTGTTGACAGAGTTTCCCAATCTTTCCTTTGAACAGTTTGCAGCTAAATACTTAATTCCACTTTTCAGTATTGTTTTTATACTACAGGATTCCACATTTCTCCTTCAGTGTAGTATAAGAGAAGCGATGAGGCACGACAGCTTTGAACACAAGTCCCATGACTTAATAGCTGTGCACCCTTAGAAAAGTCACTCAGTCGGGCTAAGCTTCCTTGACCCTCCCTGCAAATGAGAATACAGCAGTACCTATATCTCAGAGGGTTACTTTGGGGACCAGATAAATTACCATTAGTACTGTTTTATGTAACACTGGAATTCTCAGGATGCTGCAGACACTATACTAAATGAGCTAGTTATATCATTTCATTTACATTCACATAATTCATGCTTTGCCAATTTTACTGCTGTTTTGTTGTTGTTGTTGTTTTTGTTTTCAATTATAGTTGACATTCAATATTATATTAGTTCCAGGCATCCAATATAGTGTTCAGGCACTTACATAACTTACAAAGTGACTGCCCCCATAAGTCTACCACCCACCTGACAGCATACATAGTTGTTACAATAGTATTTTTTTTTTTTTTTTTTTGGTACGTGCCCCTAGAGGGAACAGAACCTGGGACTCTCTGGTCCACAGGCCAATGTTCCAACCACTGAGCCAAACCGGCCAGGGCACAATAGTATTGACTATGTTCCTTATGCTGTATTTGACATCCCAGTGACTATTTTGTAACTGCCAATTCTTAATCCTTTCAACTATTTCACCCATCCCCCCAATCCCCACCTATCTGGCAATAATCACTTTGTTCTGTATCTATGTGTTTGTTTCTGTTTTGTTGTTCATTTATTTTGTTTTATAGATTCCAAATATAAGTGTAATCCTGGTATTTCTTTCTCTGTCTGATTTATTTCACATAGCATTATACCCTCTAAGGTTTATTTATGTTACTGCAAATGGCAAGGTTTCCTTCTCTTTTATGGCTGAATAATGTTCCATGGTATATATGCACCACTCTTCTTTATACACTTGTCTATCGATGGACACTTAGGCTGCTTCCATATCTTGGCTGTTGTAAATAATGCTGCAATGAACATAGGGGTGCATATATCTTTTCAAATTAGTGTTCTGAATTTCAGATAAATACATAGAAGTAGAATTGCTGGGTCATACAGTAGTTCTGTTTAAATTTTTGAGTGACCTTCATACTGTTTCCCATAATGGCTTCACTAATTTACAATCCCACCGATAGTGCACAAGGGTTCTCTTTTCTGTACATCCTCACTAATACTTGTTGTTTGTGGATTTACTGGTGATAGCCATTCTGACAGTTGTGAGGTGATATCTCATTGTGGTTTTAATTTGCATCTCCCTGATGATTAGTGATGTTTTCATATGTCTATTGGCCATCTGTATATCTTCTTTGAAGAAATTCCATCCAGGCCCTTTGCCCATTTTTAATTAGATTGTTTTTTACTTTGTGTGTGTTAAGTTGTACAAGTTCCTTATACATACTAGATATTACCCTCTAATCAGATATATCATTGGTGAATATTTTCTCCCATCCAGTAAGTTGTCTTTTTTTTTTTTTTTTTATCCTCACCCGAGGATATTTTTCCATTTTTTGTACAGATAGAGTGGGAGGAAGAGAGAGGAAGGGAGAGAGAGAGAAACATCGACATGAAGGGACACATCGAGTGGCTGCCACCCGCACGACCAACTAGGGCCGGGGACAAACTGCAACCGAAGTACGTGCCCCTAGCGAAAACCGAACTCGGGTCTCTCCGGACCTCAGGCCGACGCTCTAACCGCTGAGCCAAACTGGCCAGGGCAGTAAGTTGTCTTTTTATTGGTTGTTTCCTTCACTGTCCAGAGACCTTTTAGTTTGATGAAGTCCCATTTGTTTACATTTTCTTTAAGTATGTTTATATTGATTTTTTTTTTTTTTTTTTTTTTTTAGAGAGAGGAAGGGAGAGATAGAAACATGGATGTGAGACAGCAATATCGACTGGCTGCCTCCTGCACACCCCCTACTGGGGATGGATCCTACAACCAGGGCGTGTGCCCTGGCTGGGAATGGATCCAGAAACTCAGTCCACTGAGCTACACTGGCCAGGCTGTTTATTTTTCCTTTTGTTTCCCTTGAGCTAGGAGACATATCCAAAACATTTTTTTGCTAAGAGTTCACTGCCTATGTTTTCTCCTAGGAGTGTTTGGGCTTCAGGTCCCTAATCCATTTCGAGTAAGAAAGTGACCTAGTTTCACTTTTTACATGTATCAATCTAGTTTTCTATCTTTACTCCATTATACATTCTTGTCTCCTTTGTCAGAGATTAATTGACCATATAGGTGTAGGTTATTCCTGGGCTGTCTATTCTGTTCCTTTGATCTATGCTTCTGTTTTTTATGCCAGTACCATGCTGTTTTGATTTCTATAGCCTTGTCAGTATAGTTTGATATTAGGTAGTGAGTGTGATGCCTCTAACTTTGTTCTTCTCAAGATTGTTTTGGCTATTTAGGGTCTTTTGTGGTCCCATGTAAAATTTAGGGTTGTTTGATCTAGTTTTTTCATAGGAATTGCATTGAATCTGGGCAGTGTGCACATTTAAATTTTTTTTTCTTTATTGATTTTAGAGAGAGAGAAACATTGATGAGAGAGAACATCGCTTCAGCACCTTTCTGCATGCCCCCTACTGGGGATCAGGCCCACAACCTGGGCATGTGTCCTGATCAGGAATCAAACTGGCGACCTCTTGGTGCATGGGTCAATGCTCAACCACTGAGCTACACCAGCTGGGCAGTGTGGACATTTTAACAACATTACTTCTTTCTATCCATGAGAATAGAAAGTATCTTTAGATTTACTTGTGTCTTCTTCAATTTCTTCTATCAATGTCTTATAGTTATCAAATACAAGTCTTTTACCTCCTTGGATACATTTATTCCTAAGTATTTTGTTCTTTTTAATGCACTTGTGAATAGAATTGTTTCTTTTTTTTTTATCCTCACCCGAGGACATTTTTGCATTTATCTTCAGAGAGAGTGGGAGGGAGAGAGAAGGGAAGAGGGCCGGGGACAAACTGCAATGGAGGTATGTGCCCTTAGTGGGAACCGAGCCCAGGTCTCTCTGGTCCTCAGGCCGACACTCTAACCGCTGAGCCAAACCAGTCAGGGCTGGAACTGTTTCTTAATTTCTCTTTCTAATTGTTAATTATTAGTGTACAGAGATGCAACAGATTTTTGTATATTGATTTTATATACTGCAACTTCTTGAATTTTTTATTAGTTCTAACAGTTTTTGGGTAGAGTCTTTAGGGTTTCCTATGTAATATCATATGATCTGCAAATAGTGAGTTTTACTTCTTTTTCCTATTTGAATGTCTTTATTTCTTTTTCTTGCCTAATTGCTCTGAGTAGGTCTTTGGGTCGTTGTGTTTTCCTTTTCACTGTCTCAAGGTAGACTTTTGATTTCTTCTTTGATCTTGTTATTAACCAATTCATTGTTTAGTAGTATGTTATTTATCCTCCACATGTTTGTGTGTTTTTCAGTTTTCTTATTATATTTGATTTCTAATTTCATACCATTGTGATTAGAGAACATGTTTGACATGATTTTAATTTTCTTAAATTTGCTGAGATTTGTTTTGTGGCCCTACGTGTTCCATCCTAAAAAAAATGTTCCATGTGCACTTGAAAAGAATGTATATTCTTTTGCTTTTGGCTGAAATGTTCTAAAGATATCTATTAAATTCTTCTAGTCTAATGTGTCGCTTATGGCCACTGTTTCCTTGTTGGTTTTCTGTCTGGCTGAACTATCCCATGATGTCAATGGGGTGTTCCTCCTATGACTGTATTATTGACTGTGTTATTGACTATGACTGTATTATTATTGATCTCTCCCTGTAGGCCTGTCAATATTTGGCATATATTGAGGTGCATAAATGTTTAAGAGAGTGATTGCCTCTTATTGGACTGACCCCCTTTATCATTAAGAAATGCCTTTCTTTGTCTCTTGTTACAGCCTTTGTTTTAAAGTCTATTTTGTTTGATACGAGTAATGATAACCCATTTCATTTCTATTTGCATATTTTTTTCCATTCATTTACTTTCAGTCTCTGTGTGTCTTTCGATCTGAGCCAGGTCTCTTATAGGCAACATATGTACAGGGCTTATTTTTTCATCCACTCAGCCACCCAATGTCTCTCTTTTTTTAAATCCTCACCCAAGGATATTTTCCATATATCTTCAGATAGAGTGGAAGAAAGGGGGGGAGGGGGAGAGAGAGAGAGAGACAGCAATGTGAGAGAAGCACATCGATTGGTTACCTCCCACACAATCCCGACCAGGGTTGAGGATCGAATCGCAATTGAGATACATGCCCTTGACCAGAATTGAACCCGTGACTCTTTGGTCCATGGGCTGACACTCTAACGGCTGAGTCAAACTGGCCAGGGCCACCCCCTATCTCTTCATTGGCACATTTAGTTCATTTACATTTATGATTTTCCCATAGGTGTACAGTTCTTACCATTTTATTGTTTTGTGATTGTTTTTGTAGCTCTCTGTTCCTTTCTTTTTTAAAAAAAATATATTTATTTATTTAAAAAATTTTTTTATCCTCACCCGAGGACATTTTTCCATTTTTTGTTCAGATAGAATGGGAAGGAGAGAGAGGAAGAGAAAGAGAGAGCGAAACATCGACGTGAAAGGGACACATCGAGTGGCTGCCTCCCATACAACCCAACCAGGACCAGGGACAAACTGCAACCAAGGTACGTGCCCTTAGCGGGAACCAAACCTGGGTCTCTCTGGACCGCAGGCCGACGCTCTAACCGCTGAGCCAAGCCGGCCAGGGCTATTTATTTATTTATAAAATAATTTTTCTTTACTGATTTCAGAGAGAGAGGAAGGGAGACAAAGATAAGAGAGAACATTGATTGGCTGCCTCCTGCATGCCCCCTACTGGGGATTAAGCCCACAACCCAGGCATGTGCCCTGACCAGGAATCAAACGAGGACCTCTCAGTCCACAGGACAATGCTCAATCCACTAACCCACACTGGCCAGGCTATTTTTACTTCTTTTGGTTATGTGTGTTTATGTGTATTCCTTCGCTTACTGTAATTACACATGATCTTGGGTCCCTTTGTGTTTATTGAAAGTTTTATTTTTCTTTATATCTAAGGCTCATGAAAGGATGATAATAACCTAGGAAGGAGCTAAGACTGATAAAAATAAATAAATAAAATTGTAAAAAAAGAAAAACCACATTGTGGCATGACTCCAGCATTTTGGACAGCAACTGCACAATATTCACTAATATTCAGTTAAAAACTTTACTCTCTTTCTTCTACAAGTCCATATTGGAGCACCACACATAGTTACTGTCTGTATGGCTCAGACTGGTACAACCTAAATGCCTATCAATGGAAGAATGAGTACAATACATCCATACTAGATAACAAAAAGAAAAAATAAATAAAAATTTAAAAACTAAGGAGAAAAAAAAAAAACAAAAACCAAGAAAAAGCAAAAGAAAAAGAATACCAGAGAATACCAGCCCAGTCGTTGTGGCTCAGTGGTTGAGCATCGACCCATGCACCAAGAGGTCGCCGGTTCGACTGCCCAGGTTGTGGGCCAGATCCCCAGTGGGGGGCATGCAGGAAGGAGGCGGCCAATCAATGTTCTCTCTTATTCATGTTTTTATCTCTCTCTCCCTCTCCCTTCCATTCTCTCTAAAATTAATAAAGAAAAAAATTTTTTTTTAAAGAAAAAGAATACCAGATAATAGTAAAAGAGTAAAGTGGATCCACATATACTGAAATGCAAAGAATTTAAGTCACAGTGTTCAGTGAAAAGAAACAAATTCCAAAAGAATATGTATGTTATAATGATATTATGTAGGGAAAACCCCACAAGACAAATTTCTATATGTATAACGGGGATACCCTTCAACTCTATAAAAGCTTATACTGGACAGTTTTGCTCAGTGGTTGGAGCATCGGCCCATGGACTGAAGGGTCTCAGGTTTGATTCCCAGTCAAGGCCACATACCTCGGTTGCAGGTTTGATCCCTGGCCCTGATCAGGGTCATACAAGAGGCAACCAATCAATGTGTCTCTATTGCATTGATGTCTCTCCCTCTCACTCTCTCTCTCTCTCTCTCTCTGTTTCCCTCCCTTTCACACTATCTAAAAATCAACCAAAAAATATTCTTGGGTGAGGATTAACAAAAAGAAAAAATCTCTTACACTGGGGAAGGGACACATGGGGTATGGAAAAGAAGTTGTGAGGGCTCTTGCTTGGTCTGCTTTTTTGTATTTGTACATAAAAAGATTATATTCACATATCACTTGAGTGGTTTTTAAGAAATGGAAAGCATTATAAATAAAGAAAACCAATATACTTAGACAAATAAGAACTTAAAAAAAAAAATTCTGTGTTGGCCAAAACAATCAAAATATTAACGTGTAAAAATTTAAACATGTCTCACACTACACAAAAAAAGTATCAATATGTAGAAAATAATAATTGGAGCCCTGCCCGGTATGGCTCAGCGGTCAGAGCGTTGGCCTGTGGTCCAGAGAGACTGGGTTCGGTTCCCGCTAAGGGCATGTACCTCGGTTGCAGTTCATCCCCGGCCCTGGTTGGTCGTGTGGGTGGCAAGCACTGGGTGTGTCCCTTTCATGTCGATGTTTCTCTCTCTCTCTCTCTCTCTCTCTCTCTCTCTCTCTTCCTCTCTCTCCCTCCCACTCTATCTGAACAAAGAATGGAAAAAAAATGTCCTCGGGTGAGGATAAAAAAATAAAAAATAATAAATTTCCTTAAAAAAAAAGAAAAGAATAATTGGAAATATTCATTTTGATAATTTCTTTGTTTTGTCTAATTTAGCTTGAAGTGTACTATGCTCTATGTTAGCTTTTTTATAATGATTCACTTAAGCGTCACAAATATTTGGACTGTATTTGTTATAAGGCTCATTTTACAGAGGATCAAACTGAAAGAGAGTTAAGGGAAGTGTGAGAAGTTAGCCGACCTGAGCTCATGCTCCTCGTGGGAACTTGCAGCTCACAAGCTTCTTGCTGTACCACAAGACTCCCTCCCCACCACCTGTGGTCTTCACTTTCTTAGAAAAACAGCAAGCATGACTTACTGAGTTGAAATCATAAGACTTTTCTCCAAAGAGCCTGTTGGCAGTTCTCAGCAAGTACTGTGTGCCAGTCTTGTTAACCTCGGCGAGAAGCAACTGGAAACCCTGGTGGACATGTTCACCTCCGCCACCACTTTTACTCAAAAAAAGTGCCTGAAATAAAGAACAGAATAAAAATATACCACTTCAGTATGCTTTGTCTTTAGGAAATTGGTAACAAAACTAAACTCTGCCTAAGAATTGTACAGATCCTCCCTACAGCATAAAAAATATTCATCCAAATAAAAACAAAAGTATCGTGAAAGCCCCTTCCCAGTAACACTTCCTGCACAGAGTTAGAGCCCTCCCTGCGGACATCAGCAGGAGCAGAAATGGCCCTTCGCAGTCCAGGTTCTGAGTGCTCCACACTTGTGTCTGCCTGAAAACAAGACTGTCAACCTGGCCCCTCATTCTCTGTGAAGACAGGGCACTGCTGATACCAAAAGGTGCAGCCTCTCCCCCAGTCTTCGGGTCCAGCTGGCCCTGATTGCTCTGACCAACAGAATACAGGAGAAGCAACACTGGGCTTTCAAACGCCTGGCAGCTCCACACTTGCTCTCCTGCATCTTAGCCACCATGGTGGAAGGAAGTCCAAGCTGTCCTGTGGAGGCCATGTGGAAAGCCCCAGAGAGCAGCCCCACATGGGGAGAGCTACTTGTAGAATGGCAGCCTCAGCCAACAGCCAGCACCAAGGCCCCAGACATGTGATAGAGGCCTTTCTTGAATCATTAGTGATCCCAGCCGGCACCGTGAGGTCAGTCCACAAGATCTAAAAAATAATCGATCACTGTTATTTCCAATCACTAAGTTTTGGGATGGTTTGTTTTGCAGCCATTGAAGATCCATGCAGCAACCTAGACATGGAGTTCTGCCAAAACAAAAATCTAAAATGTGTACAGCATCTGCCTCAAACACAGGCAGCTGACAGAGGCTGGACAGAAAGGGAGTGAGGAGACTGTGAGAAGAGGCTGGAAGGACAGTGAAGAAATGACTGCTGGAGGCTGGAGAAAAGGAGCTTAGGCATGGACTGGAGACTTTCACCTGCACGATGGGAAAGGTGGAACAGTTTGCCAGTGAACCGTGAATCTGGTTCAGAGATGCCCAGGAAGAATGTGGCTTCTTTTAGCTCCCTGGGACAAAGTATGGGAACATAAAGATGAGCTAAAGAAGAAACTGTTCCATTTTCAAGCAGAATATAAAGCAAATATTTCCAACCTAGGACTTGCTGGATAGAAAATTAAAATGTTTCTTATTCCCAGCCTCTCCAGTGGGCAAATGATTCTAAAAGAAAGAAATGGTCCTGGCCGGTTTGGTTCAGCAGTTAGAGCATTGGCCTGCAGTCCAGAGAGACCCGGGTTCGGTTCCCGCTAAAGACACGTACCTCGGTTGCAGTTTGTCCCTGGCCTTGGTTGGGGCGTGCGGGTGGCAGCCACTCGATGTGTCCCTTTCACGTCGATGTTTCTCTCTCTCTCTCTCCACCTCTCTCTCCCTCCCGCTCTGTCTGAACAAAAAATGGAAAAATGTCCTCAGGTAAGGATTAAAAAAAAGAAAAACATCTATGTGAGAGGAACACATCGACTGGCTGCCTCCCACACGACCCCAACCAGGGCCAGAGACGAAACCTCAACCGAGGTCTGTGCCCTTGACTGGAATTGAACCCATGGCCCTTTGGTCCCCGGGCCAACGCTCTAACCACTGAGCAAAACCGGCCAGGGCAATAGTATTTACTGTTCCCCAGAAATGGCATCAGTTACGTACCTGGACCATCTGGGCCGCGGTGTTGCCCTTTGCCCCCATGAAGACCATGGCCAGGGCAGAGGAGATGCTCATGGGCGAGAAGAACACGTTTTTTGATCTGTCGTCACCCAGCTTTCTCAAAAGGTTTAAGGCAAAAGTGCCATTTGCTTCAGACAGAGTATCCATGATGGCGAGTCTGAAACAATGGACTTAACATCAGTATTACATAAACACAAGCTTACACATTGGCTGCATTTCACTGTTAATAGTGACCACTGACACTTTGGTTCAATCAGCAAATAGATACACATAATAAACTATTTCTTCGTGGGGACATCAAAATTATTTTGTGTGTTTCTGATTTTAGGTGAAAAAAAATTGAAGTTATGTGTATAATATAATCCTGTTTTGTGGGAAGGAAAAGCAGGACTTATATCTGTACATTTGCCTGTGACCCCAAGAAGGTGTAGAAGGTACACACTCAACCACTTAACAAGTTACTTCCTGGGAGAGGCATTAGGAGTTATTGGCTTTTGGTTCCATTTCTGCATTGTTTGTTTGGTGTGTTGTATGGTCTTATATGTATTACTTTATCATTTAAAATTCATTCAGAATAACACTGTTGTAACTAATGTAGTTATTAATAACAGAAAAGGAGAAAAGGGAAGGCCTAATATTATAAACCTGTCATTTGCGCAGCTTTGCCAGAAAGCTACAACCTAACACTCCCCAGGGGTCCAGCAAGGGGAAACAGATCCACGCCCAGTGAAGTTAGGGTGACAAAGGGAAGGTACTAGCCTGTCAAGTCACACCTGGGAACAGAGGTCATTGGCCAGAATGGGCATGGCCACTGCAAGCATGGTACGATTAGGGATACTTAATTTCCTGAACAAAGAAACTCGCTCTTTTGTACTCTTAGGTGCTCTCGGTATGTTGCACTTGACTCCTGACTCTCGGGGCTCTCTTGCCCCTGCTTCCTGGCATTTGCTCCCATGGTCCTTGACTCCTGACTTTCGGGGCTCTCTTGCCCCTGCTTCCTGGCATTTGCTCCCATGGTCCATGGCCATGCAGACCCCCACACACAATGGACTATAACTAGCATGATGCTGAACTGGACCTGGCTGCAACATGGAATGGAAACTCTGGACACTGGCTTTGCTTCTGCACTTCTTCTATCAAGTGCAGACAGGAATAGGACTTTGGAAACACAGAAATATAATTCCATGCAAATATAAACCACTCATGCTCCCGTGTAAGTCTCAGAAAATTCTTTTTCTTGAGATATCGTAAGGACTCCACCCCATTCAGTGGGAAAAGGGATACCCCATAACAAATACAACCACAAAGTACATAGGAAAAGATGGTTGAATGTTTTTATAATGTAGAAGAGAAGACTTCATTTTAGGGTACCCAGAAGCCTTGAGGTAACAGAGATGTAAGCCATTGTGAAAGAACTGGCATTAGCTGTAGAAAGGGGGTGGGACAAGCTGAAGGGGCCAGCTCTGGGACAGGCGCAGAGCCTGCTCCTGTGCTGCAGCTGTGGCCAGCAGACTGCGAAGTTGGCTCAGTTGGTTACAGGTTCGTCCAGATACGCCAAGCTTATGGGTTCGATCCCCAGTCAGGGCACATACAAGAATCAACCAACGAATGCATAAATAAGTGGAACAACAATCAATGTCTGCCTGCCTCTCTCTCTCTTTCTCCCTTCCTCTCTCTATAAAAACAAAATAATAGTGGAGGCTCCTGGGGTTGGATGGGGCCTGGTGATTCTCTCTTTTGGGCAATCTTGGAATAGCTACCTGGAAATTAATCCTAAATTCCAACAGATACACAGGAAAACGAGCAGCCATTTGTCAGAGCTGGCCACAGCTATTAACAGGCCAACTGTTCCATCTCTCTCACTCTATGACTGTCGTTTTAATTTAAATGTCTCAGAATTTTTCTTGTCACAAGCTAAGGAGCAGATGGGCTGAACTGAGGGCAATGCCCTGCCTCTGGACTGCTGCCCCAGCGGCCGACACTTGAGGAAGGCGGAAGGGCGGAAGGGCGTGCCGGAGCTCCGGGGCGTGGACAGCGGCAGTGAAGGGCCCGCAGGCCGGCGGGGATGCAGTGCAGCAGAGCAGGCAAACTCTCCTCCGCAGAGACTGCTGAAATGACTCATCGGAGCAGGGAGTGGGACCCTACAGAACCAGGAAAGAGGGAAGCCAGCGCAGCTGTTTCTGGGCATGGAGCAGAGGGCAGGGGACTTCTGACTAAAAGGCCTGTGGAGACTGCAGGGCTAGCCCTTTCTCCCCAGCATGCCTCTGCGTTTATAATCATGGGTGATAATAATGGTCCCAAAGCTGTGAAGGGGACCAAAGTTTTGCCACCTGGAAGCTGCCTTTTGAGATATTAATTTTAAACTGGTTATTAAGAAACTAGACTCAGAAAGAACCTCTGGCCTTGCCCCGTTTTCTACCTAAAAGATTCAGATGGGAAGGCTGCTTCAGGAAGGAAGCTCGGGGTGTCCACCTCAGCCTTATTTGAATTAAGAACGATGTACAGGAAGGCACTAAGCAGGTAGAGTCCTACTGAGGCAAGAATGTGCCTACCTTGTGTGTTCAGCTCTTCCTCAATTACCTGTCCGTTCTCACTTCTGAAATCTAAGATCCCATTCCCCTCACACACACACACCTTTTTCCTTTGTCCAAAATGAATTATATACCAAATTTTGCCCCATTGTCTTTGGAATCTTCATGCTTATGTGAATTCCCCATATACATGCATTAAAATTTTATTTTCTCCTGTTAATCTGTCTCTGTTGATTGCATTATTAGCCCAGCCAGAATTAGAAGGTGGGAGAAATATTATTTCTTTAGCCCCCACAGCTGAATAAGGTGTCCCCATTGAAATCCCTAGAACACGTGACTGTCACTTTATATGGCAAAAGAGAATGCAGATGTGGTTAAATTGAGGATTCTGAGATGGGAAGATTGTCACTGAGACTGGAGGCTCATTCACATGGTCCCTGAACGTAATCGCATGGATCCTATGAGGAGGAGACAGAAGAAAGCAGTGTGAGGACCAGGCAAGATGCTCCCCTGCTGGGACCTGGAGGAAGGGGAGACAACCCGGAGTGCAGGAATGTGGCTCTAGAAGCTGTGAGCACACAGAGACAAGTGGTCCTCTCTAGCTTCTAGAGGGAGCAGGCCCTACCTGCCAGCATCAAGGTTTCGTTCAGTGAAACCTATTTCACATTTCTGGCCTCCAGAACTGTGAGAGAATAAGCACTGAGGTGGTAGTAATTTCGTACAAGAGCCATTGCAAACTAATACAATAACTAATATAACTGACACATTTTGCTTACTGTCCTTGTTTAAACCTTTTGTTTTCAAACTCTTCTTTATTCATTATAGAGAACACTGGGGCACTGATTACACCTGATTTGCTAAGACTTTCATATGTACCTTAGACTACTAATTTTTAATGAAAGCACAATGGAACGTACACGTTACTAAAATGCTTCTGAATATAACTGATTCTTTGATAATACAGAAATAACTTCAGGATTTTCCAGAGCCTTGGAAACAACAATATAAACAAAAGTAGGCATTATATGACACTGATGCAAAATTAGACGTATTTTCGGTTATTTAAATTTTATATCAGCAAAAGCTGCCTTCTTATCAATTTTCAGAGAAACAACTGGTAAAATGGGGAAACTTCTGAATTAGGAATTAGAAAAGGAGGCTACCCCAAAGCAAGGAACAGAGTCCTGAGGATTCTAATACAATCAAATGTCAAGAAACAGACAAGTGTCTGTGGACTGCCATCTCCCCGCCCCTGGTCTTCACTTGCCTGGGACAGGGACACCTCTGACTTTGGCCCCAAGATGGCTGAGACCACACAGAGCCCCTCGTCCCTTCATCTCTTATTGAACTGAGAAAGCACAGAGTTTTAGGGCCCTGTGCATATTAGGTTTATTGCAAGTTCAACCAGCCGAGGAAAGATCCCACATGTCCCCTCACACCCATCCAAGACTCTATTACCATCCACACACTTTTCCCCTCAAATGTTGAAGGAGTATTAATTCAAATGGAAATGCCAACCTAAGAAAGACCATTAATAAAGCACTGTGTCTCTGGCAATGTCCCTAACAAATGTGTTTTGGACTCTGACCTTTCTGTCACTGGTATCAAAAAGGCACACCTGCCCTCCCTCTCCCACCAGGTAAGCACTAGCCTAGCCAGCCCCTGGCACTCTTCTGGGGCTGAGAAGAAATCGGTGCACTTCTGTTTCTTCATGTCAAGGGAATTTAAAACTGAAAGATCAATAGTTCCTCAATATAAAGCAGCTTTAGTCTTCTTTTTTAAAATACTGAACTGGGAAAAACAAACCAGGACATTCAGAAGAAAAGGCACGAGTCAGGAGGGAAGCGGGCCTACTGTTCCAGCTCTGGAACCTTGCCTGAACAAAGTACTTGACTTCTGTTCCCGGTATAAGAAAGGGGATAATAATAATCTGTGTTTCTTTCCATCTTTACAATCCAATAATTATTAACATTAATGCAGAAAGAAGAGCAAAAATAGCTCTCAACCTTCAAAGCTCATAGTGAAGTCAGTCACAGCATTACACTGGAAGGGAACCAAAGGTTTGCCAACCTGAAGGTGCCTTTTTGGGATCCTGATTTTAAACTGGTAAGAAACAAGGCTCAGAAAGAACCTCTGACCTTTTCCCCTTTTCTATCCAAGAGATTTAGATAGAGAAACCTGCTTCAGGGAGGAGATTTAGGATGTCTCCTTAGCCTAATTTGAACTAACTATGGTAAACAAAAGGGCTTCAGGCAGGCTCCTGTTAGCCTAGACAATCACTGTTTCTGAGTTGCCTGGCAAAAATTTTCCTGCCATGTATATTCAGCTCTTCAGCTACCTGTAAATCACCCATTCTGTCTTCTGAAACCAAATACCCTATTCCCCCTTCTTTTCTCTTTTGTCCAAAAATGTCTTATATACCCAATGTTGCCTCACTGTCTTTGACATTTTCATGCCTATGTGAATTCCCCATGTGCATATTATTAAAACTATGGTTTTCTCCTGCTAATTTGTCTGTTAGCCCAGCTAGAAGAACTTAGAAGGTGAGAAGAAAAGTATTAATTTTTTTAGCTGCCACACATTTCTCAATTGAAAATGACTGGTAGTAGCCTTTAAAGGTAAAATT